TCAGAGGCCCAGGGCAAGAAGGTTCCCTGTGCCAGGGCTGGCTGTGGGCTGGGAAGGTGGGGGTGCAGCCAGGGGTGCCCAGGGCTGTGGTGCAGAGCAGGGTCCTGCCCCCAGGGCTCTGTGTGCTGGGGCAGGGACTCTGCTGCCTGCCAGGGGCAGCTCTCAACCGCAGGCTGTCTGGGATCTGCTCTGCAGCCCCTGCCCAGGCAGAGCTGCCCCTGGGCACTGGGCTGGGGATGGCTCTGGCAGCACTGGCAGGGAGCTGAGCTGGGCACAGGGAGGGGCTGCTGGCAGGAACAGCTCCTCACCCAGAGACAGGCAGGCAGGGAGAGGCAGCTGCTGCCACAAGTGCTGGGCAGGGGGATGTGGGCCCCTCCCTGCTGTCCCTGTGGCACAGACCCCTTCCCTGAGCAGCTCCTCCCTGGGCTCCTTTCCCAGCCGAAGCAGAGCCTGTGCCCTCAGGCCCACGGGGGCTGGGCTGTGCATTGCCCTGCAGCAGCCAGAGCCCAGGCAAGGACAAGGCCCTGATTTCCAGCTGTCTCTCTGTGTCCCTCCTCCCTTGGCAGCACCATTGTGACATTTCACTACCATCCCCTGCTGCCTGGGCTCTCCTTGTTCTCACCCTTGGGTTTTCTGAGCCAGTGTGGGGTTTGGGGGGGGCAGATTCCTGTCCAGACACAAACCCTTTGGGTGCTGCTGTGGGGATGTGTCTGTGGGAGCCAAGTGCCCAAGTGCCTTCCAGGCACCTTCAGGGTATTCAGCTGTTTGCCTGGGTGTCCTGCAGGGCTGCAGGTGCCCTCCAGAAGGGCACAGCTCTGCCATAGGATCTCTGTGCTGCACAGGATCCCCATGGAGAAAACTCCTCAGTGCTAAATCCATGGAAATGCCCTGGGCAGCCGTACTTGGGAGCTGCAATGATCCCTCTGTGTGGCAGTTTGGGAGGAGAAAAGAAGATCCTAATCAGGTATCCTGAGGAAAGGCAAGGATTCTGTCAATCTGCTCTTTGAACCGGGATTTCTCTGCTCCCAGAAGTGCCTTGTTTCTTTTTTAAGGGAATTCCTAAGGGTGATTCCCCCTTCAGTTCCAAGCTGCCAACCAGGGGCAGCTGTGAACAGGAAAGATGCCAGCTCTTGTCTCTGCACCAAGAGACCATCCCTTTGCCTCTCAGGACTCACAAGATTTCACTTGGAGCACATTAGAAATGTCAGAGATTTCAACCATCCAAACTCACTCCTGGCAAGAGCAACTGGAACAAAATCAAGTCCCCCAAATCCTCTCCCTCTGTTCTGCCCTTGGGCAAACTGTGACCAGCAGTTCTGGAAACACTTTGATACATCACAAGTGCATTTAATTGGAGGTCAGCCTGTGCTCCAAGTTGCCTCTCACTGCACAGCAAGAAGGATTCCTCAGGAGCCCATTCCAGGGTCCCTGCTCTCAGTGCCCCCTTCAGCCAGCAAAACCCAGAGCTCGGGGAGAGGGATGCAGAGAGATCTTCCTGAAAAGAGGCCCTGAATGTTGAATTGCTATGAGACATGCAATATGTTTTGGTGATTGAGTCTGGCCTAATACAATTCTGTCTTTTTTCTCCTAAACAGAAAACCATATAGAGGCATCAAATGTCCAACAGCAGCTCCATGGCCCAGTTCCTCCTCCTGGCATTGGCAGACAGGCGGGAGCTGCAGCTCCTGCACTTCTGGCTCTTCCTGGGCATCTCCCTGGCTGCCCTCCTGGCCAACGGCCTCATCCTCAGTGCTGTAACCTGTGACCACCACCTGCACACCCCCAGGTACTTCTTTCTGCTCAACCTCTCCCTCACAGACCTGGGCTGTATCTGCACCACTGTCCCCAAAGCCATGCACAATTTCCTCTGGAACACCAGAACCATCTCCTACCATGGATGTGCTGCACAGGTCTTTCTACTTGTCTTCTTTCTTGGAGCAGAGTTTTCCCTCCTTATCATTATGTGCTATGACCGCTACGTTGCCATCTGCAAACCCCTGCACTACGGGACCCTCCTGGGCAGCAGAGCTTGTGCCCACATGGCAGCAGCTGCCTGGGCCACTGGCTTTCTCCATGCTCTGCTGCACACAGCCAATACATTTTCCCTGCCCCTGTGCCAGGGCAATGCCCTGGGCCAGTTCTTCTGTGAAATCCCACACATCCTCAAGCTCTCCTGCTCACACTCAGGCTACCTCAGGGAAATTGGACTTATGTTTTTTACTCTCTCTTTAGAACTTTGCTTTTTTGTTTTCATAGTTTTCTCCTATGTGCAGATCTTCAGGGCTGTGCTGAGGATCCCCTCTGAGCAGGGACGGCACAAAGCCTTTTCCACGTGCCTCCCTCACCTGGCTGTGGTCTCCCTGTACCTCAGCACCTCCACATTTGCCCACCTGAAGCCCTTCTCAATTTCCTCCCCATCCCTGGACCTGGTGGTGGCAGTTCTGTACTCAGTGGTGCCTCCAGCACTGAACCCCCTCATCTGCAGCCTCAGGAACCAGGAGCTCAGGGATGCCGTAAGGAAAATGATGACTGGGGTTTTTTTTAAGAAGCAATAAACTGCCTCTTTTCTTCTGCAGAACACTCACTGAGTAACACATTTTGGGCCCACCCTGCCTTCTAAAGCTTTTGATAGTGTTTGGAGTGGGGGGCTTTCCTGTTTTTTCCCTCTGTTCCTGTCATCAACACTGAAATCTTATTCTTCATTCCATATAATTCACTCTCTACCTCTTTTTTTTGACCCATAAAATATACAAATCAGGAATCATGCTTTGTGTGCATTTAAACAAAATAAAAGTTTGTGCAGCAAGGTATTTGTCAAACATCCTCTCTGTGTTAGTTTGTACATGAGGAATCACAATCTCTGAATGTAAGAAAGGACACAAATTCTTTTTTCCAGATCCTTCCTCCAAGACCTCCCCTGAAGCTGGAGGGTATTTCCATATTTGCAGATGTGGAGGGGAAAAGAGTCCCAGCACTGCCAGAGAGCAACAGAACTGGGTCTGTTCAGAGCTGCTCTCTTTGCACTCCCACCCTCTCCTTTCCTGTCCGTGCCCAAGGCCTGAGTGCTCTGGCAGCTCAGTCACTGTCCTGCTGTGTGTCAGGCCTGTGAGCACAGGCAGGGACAGGCCCTGGGCACTGCTGGGACAGCGCTGGGCTCCACAACAGCAGTTCCAGCAGAAAAGGGGTTCCCCTCCAGGCACTTCCTGAAGGCTGAGGTCTTTTCCCAACACTGGTATGGAGAAGAACTCCCCGGATTCCTTTTGTTCCATGAGGTTCCCCAGTGTCACAATGGCCTCCTGATTCCATGTGTTTCTACAGTGTCACAATGACCCCTTTTTTCAGGAGGTTGTCCACTTTCCTTGAGTTCCTTTGGCTCCATGGGGCCCTGCAGTGTCCCAGTGACCTCTTGATTCCATGGCTTTCCCCAGGGTCACAATGGCCCCATAATTCCACAAGGTTCTGCAGTTTGACAGTGGCTCCTTGATTCCAGGAGGTTGCACAGCATCATCACAAAGCTGAGCCCATCCTGATGAAAGTTCTGAGGAGGTTAGGAGGAGCTGGGACAAAAGGGATAAGATAATTTGGAGAGGAAAGAGGGGCTTGGCCAAGAGAGAGGAAAGATTTTGATGAGGTAAAACCAGGTTCAGGGAATGCTAAGAGTGCTGAAACATTGACTGTGCAAACATTCCTGATGGACCTTTATGCACCTTGTAACCTCAAACCCCAACACTCCCCAAAAGTGCTGCCCCTCCTATTGAAAGGAACCCACTGCTCTAATTCCAAGCTGGAAAAAGCCCAAACCCAGAACTCCAGACTCCTCTTTGTCCTCTAATGCCCACCCCAATCCCAAACCTGCATTACCTGTATGAAAAGACAACCTTTAATCCTAATCCAGCCCAAAAAGCTCTTCCCCTAATCATGAACCAGACACTGCCAGCAGAACAACAAACC